GTATGTTGCAAAATTTCAACTGAAAACCAAAATGCTAAAATATGTGGAATATTGGGGAAATAAGAACTTTTCCTTACCTTCTCTGGAAGACGGACATTTTTCTTTCCCTGTAGCTTCTTTCTAAGATGGCTGTCCGAGATGGGCCGGGCATTCTTGTTAGGAACTCGGAGGAGGGCAGAGGCACCAGTATGGTACCCAATATCTGATAGACTTTGACTTCTTTCTCTGTAGCTTTTCCTCCTGAGTAGAAAACATCAAATTCATTTGAAAATTGACGTGAAACTAATGAGAAAACTCAAGGTGCATTTGATATACAAAGCAAAGTAATGTCAGGGAGTTTGCTATCTTCCATATCATTGTCTTTTTAGAACTAAGTAAAATCTGGTGGCATAATTACATTACAATTATATTCCATGCATTAAATATTGAATATTGTTTTAATTAGTGACTGCAAAGACAGGGAAACTCAAACATCTTTACCTAAATATCCTTCATTTAAAAAGATAAAGAATGATGGTTATTTTCAAACACACAAACAGAATCTGATGTTTATAAAAGCATTTTTTTTTAGAAAATTCTATTCAAATTTTTATTTCTTTTCAAGTTCAAAATGTTCAGACAGTCAATTCAAATTCAGAAATTGTCCGTGGTGTTATTAATGCCATGCAGAGTAAGCAGAAAACTGCAATTTTAAAGCCCAAAGCAATGATTTTGTCAAAGGAACAGTCAACAAACAATGTATGCAATTATGTAAAAAAATATCTTGAATAAAATAAGAAATCTATTCATCAGCCCCAAGGAAACTATTCACAAACCAACATCTAAGCTTGTTTTGTGTCAGCTTTAAGGAAGATGAGCACATTTAGACTTCTTAATCATGCTTATTAGTCTATGATGTAAAATTTGTACATATTTCCCTTAAGCTTAATACCTTTATACCCCAAAATAAATAAGGGGCACAGGTAAGTCAGCCAATGAAACCTGTTTTAATATACTATGCATACAATAATAACTAGAAGTGAGCAATAAAGGTGATCAGAATAATCTTAAGTTTCAGAAAACTGAAAGCAAGCAAGCAACACTGTAAATTTTAGTCCAAAATTAAGGCGGCCCTAAATCTTAAAATGATGTATTTAAAATACATCTTTTCAGGTCTGAGTGTAGTTAGGAACTTCATTTTCTAGTAGACAAACTGAGTTTCAATGTAGTTTATGCTATGTGTTAACAGATTATTTCTTATTACCTTGGTGTTGGGGTAGAGCTCCGACTACACAAGCTCATAGTTTCCATGCATGCAGAGTTCGGCGCACTGACACCGCTGTCGTTCAAACTCTGATTGCTTCCGCTATGCAACGATTCACTTTTAGGAGATGACGTTGACAGAGGACGAGGAAAGTCTGACTTTGAAAAAGCCGTCTGCCCAAGAGACGTATCTAAGAGGGAGAGAGTGGCACTAACATCATGGATCCCCTCATCGGGCGATAGCAAGGCATTTGCCGCTACTGAAGATGGCGCCTCCTCCACAATAGTGGTCAGAAGGGCCGAGGTGTCCAGACTTTTTGAAGGGCTGACATCATCATGATCTGGAAGCCAAGGATAAAGCTCATTCTGAGCTGTATGGCTGTCTATATCTCCCTCTTGATCATTTTCATTTTCTTTTTCTGACTCTTCAATAATTTCCATACTGTCCTGGTTTTCACAATCAACAATATCTGCGTTGTGAAATGTGAGCGTAGTTTCACATTCATCTTCAACTTCTTCTTCATCAATGGCCTCTGCTAATGTATCTTCAACAGTTTCTGATCCTTCTAAACATGCCCCAACATTTTTCCTCTCATCATTTTTCCCCTCGATCTTTGTGCTTTCTAACTCTTCAGCAGGGTCACTTGCCTTTACCTGGTCACCATTAGAAGAGACTGTGACCAGTCGTGACCCTTCAGATACATCTTGACCATTGTCGCCAACTTCAGGCTTCTCTTTCAAATTTTCTATTCCAGATAGCTCATTCTCCTTACTATCCAATATCTTTGATTTTTGAGTCGATGTTTCACCTTCTTTATTTTCTGGATGGTCAGCCTCCACTTTTGGCATACTGACCGGTGTGGTCACTTCATGGTGGACAGGTGGAGGGTCACTCTGGCTTGACCACACGCTAGCCAAGTCCACATCCTCTACCCACTGCTTGAGGCGCTCCAGACGCGACACTCGGTTAAATCTTCTTGACGAAGCTGAATTTGTCTTCTGTGGAAGTTCTAAGTTATCATCATCGCCATGGTGATTCCCTAGCGCTAGATCTCTATTCCTACGGCGTAAAACTGCGCCACCTACATGTTCTCCTGTGAACTCCATGTCATTGTCACTAGTTGCTTTCCTGTGTTGTTTTCCCTTGTTGAGGCGACAGTTAGTGCATAAAATTTTACTCTCAAACTCACCGCCATCTGCTGCCACGTATTTCCTCACTTTACAGTGGCAGCTTTTGGGCGACCATCTTGGTTCTGTTTTTTCTGCATCATCAGTTTGTTCGTTATCTAAATCATTAACTACTGACCTTCTATTTTCTGTCTGAGACTCCACTTTCTCTTTGCTCAAATCCAAACCTGTGTTCTCCACCTTGTCTCCCTCATGATTTTCATCACCTCCTTTATGCATGTACATTTCAACTTCTTTATCATTGTCGCTCTCACTCTCCAAATCATTTTTGGCATTTGAAATCCCGCTGTCAGATTCCTTATCAGAGTCCCTACTATTCATATGATCCTCTTCCACTGTGGTTGACGCAGTCGGGGGCAATGGAGACTCGGCTCCGTCAGACATCTCCTCAATCCCGCTCCCTGAGCTCTTGGGGTCTGAATTGTTCAACATCAGATCTGCACCTATATTCAAAAAGTCCATGGCAAGGTTCAGCTTATTGTGATTGGAGACCCAGTCGCGAAGCCTCTGCACATTAGCACTGCGTTTTCTCCCTTCTTTTTCCATAGTCACACAGGAGTGATAATTATCTATATATATAATACCTATATATCGATGTAATCAATAGTGTCTATTTTGGATTATAACACTGATAATGAAATGGTATCAAGTTTCCCTGTTGATAATGGCTCGCTTCGTCAGGAGAGAGAGTGTGTCATGTTGCCTGCCCTGTGTCTGATATAATAATATAAATTCCCCCTCAGGTTGTAAAAATGTATATCTCGGCAGATCTGACTGCTGATTACAAAGTGCACTCTCCAATAAAACTAGATGTTGATGTTGTTATAGTTACAGTCACTGCACACAACAGGGTCCGGTGAATGACAGCAGCAGTAGCAGTCCTTAGTGTTCAGTCCAAATCACAAATAATTCTCCTCTTCATCAATGATCATAGAAGTCCCTGTCCTATCTTGTCTGGTATACAACTGACAGGTAAAGGTATGTTCCCCACTTTAAGATTCCTTCTTAATGTTATGATCATATACACACGATCTCAGTTAAAGCAGTCCTGTCACAGCAGTGTGTGTATACACAGGCGTCCACTTCCTTTCCTATCTCTTTTCTGAATGACGGCTCCACTTACAGAGAGAGATGAGAGGAACACTGCCCCGTCACCCGAGAAGACCTGTGTAGTAACTTAGCCAGGTATGAAACACACTGCTCGCCTGATTACACCGCAAATGACCACAATCTGTCATCCCTCAACAGTCTCTTTGTCGCCAGCGCAAGTGCCCCTGTGCTTTAACCTTGGTGCCCCCAAGTATGGATGCCTAATGTCAATCAACACACCTGGCCTGTGTGTTAGGTGATGGGGCCCTTGGATATGGATTGTGATGACAATGATGTGGATGCTCCCTTAAAGTATTAAGCCAGACTGGGATGGAATCTTCGAGATAAAATCAAAAAAATTTTTTCACTTAGATTGGTGGCAATCTTTTTTATCCTCTTCGCATCAACAAGTCTTGCGAAATCACTTCATAGATTGCCTGAGTGACGTATCTGTTTTTGTTTTTTTCCCCGACAATAAATCTACTGAAAACAATATGTGGGAGCACCTGTTTGTTTAGATACACCTGCTGATTAGTTGTTCTTTTTATCACCGAGATTTAAAATTGACAAGGTAAGTTGTCAGAGCCCCGCAATAAATATACTGTCCAGTTTGCGTATTTATCTCACAGGTCAAAATCTGAGTGGTTTTCTATGTCTTCAGTCGATGTTGCAGATTTTTAAAAGTTATTTCGATATCCCCCCTAACAAGAAATTTGTGTACGATTTCATCACAGTCCTGTTTGGCAACCCCAATATCATGTCGCCAGAAGATTAGCAAAAGACTAGCACAAGCCTGCTAATACATTAATCTAGTTTACAGGTATTTCAATACAGGCAAACAGGAATACTGTCTCTTTTATGGGGGCCAATCCCAGCAAATGTGTCTCTCTTTCCCTCATCAAATTCTCCCTGCGTACGCTCAGGAATTTTGCCACAGGAATCGTTCCGGTTGCGGTCCTCCTACTTGAAATTCAGGACTTCCCAACAAATACCCAGTTAAATGTTTGTTGATGCAAATCAGTCAACGTCTACGAGGACAAGTGAGGACTCTTGTTGTTCGTGACGTAAATTGATGAAACCCAGGTGCTTAATGGCCAGAGAAGTTCTTTACTCGAAAATCTGATCACTGCTTTTTTGAAAACTTCCACAAAGAACCAAATGCCCAGAGATACAAGTGAGTCTCGTATCATATATCCAGTAATACTTCAAGTGTCAATACTCTGGACCTCAAGAAAACCAACTGATATCCGCAGTCAATTCAAAGACATGCATCTGCAAATACCTGTAGAAATACTTATATGTACATCCCACCTATAATCCCCATTTATTCCCAAGTCCTTTCATCTAAACTGGACAAGAAAGCATCCTCCATGGCAGTCGCCTTACATTTGTACTTTCAGTCTCAGACAAAGGTAAGCACATACGTCCAGTCCAGGTCCAGTCTTGGCCAATATGGGAGAGCCAAGTCCAGATAAAAAAAACAGATAAAAGTTTTCTGTCTTATACAAGTAATCACATCTGTGATAGATGGTAGGCTGAGAAAAGTGAGCTAATGTCCTTCTCAGCATGCGTGCTAGTGGACGCTTACTCAATCAAACTCGTCTCCAAAGAAAAAACCTTTTTTTTTCCTCCCAAAATAGTCTTTGTTTCTTTAAATTGTTTTTCTTGCTGATGATTCAAGACCATCAATGTGTCTAAAATATCTTTCAGTCCAATTTTTTTAAAATCTCAAGTCCCTACATCCAGAGCTGTCATGGGTATAAATTCGTCACTTAAATCAGATATCTCCTAAATGACCCAAACTGTTAGCTGAAAGGTAATAATTCCCAGTATGCAAAAGACCTCTCAGTTTCGTCCACTCTCACACGAACAGACCGCATGTCAATGCACACATGTGAAGTGACCACTGGTTAAACAATGCTTGACCATAGGTCACTGCTGCCTAATTACTTTAACCTGTGTCATCTGGGACGGTCAATGTCAGTCAGCTGTATCATAATGCACATTACACGTTAATTAATTCAAATAATGTGCCTGAGAAATTAGTAAGGATTTGCCAGTTAAATAATGAAATGTCAGGAATGTTCTTAAAATTGAGCTATGATCATCACAAGTTTATATTATATTCATTATGCTGTGATTTCGCTTAAAGTGCTACTTAGAAATCATAACTGTCTCTGCAGTGCAGAATATGACTCTTATTAAACCAGATCAGCAGTGTTGAAACAGTATAGTTATGAAACACAACAACACTGGAATAAAAGGATCCCTGTGTCAGGGTGTCACCAAAATGCGTCATTTATCTCTCTAGCTGTCATAAAAGCTGCTTCCGTAACCACCACGGGAAGTTTTCAGGCAGCTGCAGCTTGCGTGTTTCTCTCCAAATGTCACCAAGTTTGGAAAAGTCAACTGTCACTATATAAAACCTAGCAGGTGCTGTTCATTTTATTGTTTGTTTTTCATCATAATTTTTTTATTACTATTTACAGAACAACGTAAAATTCAACAAATTGCTATGAAAAAATGTTTTTCAGTGGTCATTCATATCACTGTTTCCATTTCTGTGTGCCTTACTGTATATATAATTTTTACATAAAGTACTATGCACTCTCAGTGCACCAGTGCCGACTTTGCAGTGACATCAGTACAAAGATTCAAAGAAAATAAAAGATGTCACTGCTTGGACAACGCCAGCCAATCACAGAGTATCACAGCCAAGTGGGCGGTCACTTCTAGTCCGGCTGCATGGTCAGTCACTGACCATCATCAGTTACAAAGGCTAGACCTGTAGGTCTGAGAGGGACACTGCTTCACTCCACCCACTTCTTCTGACTCTCCCATCAATCAAATTGGTAGCCCCTCCCACTTTTCTAGTTGCCCAATCAATCACCATGGCTACACTTCTCTCTCCTCAACATGGCAATGACAGTGATGGTTTTAAAGAAAGTAAGGCAAAACTGGGCAGGGCTTCTGTGCTGCCCACTCTTTAGAAATAATATACATTTGTCACAGCAGCAGCCCCTCCCCTCGGCTGAGGCCAGTGACGAGCCATCAATCACGGCACCTTGAAGGAGAGAGCAGTGGAAGGTGCCGGGTGTCACATGCAGATGAGGCAGGGTCTTAATGACACTGTGGTGGGCCACGCTGGAGACATTAAGTGAGAACATGATGATTATCATGCAAAACAAATGCAGCAAGCACTTGTTCATTTACTGTTAATTGTGAGCTTTAATATATTTTCTGTAAGACAAATTTTGTTGCAATGCTTGGTGTATTCTAAAGCTTCGGTTAAAGGTTATCATAATTGCTGCAGTTATCTAACTTGCAATTTTTTTATTTAAAAGAAAAAGTTTAATGACACTATTACAAGACTTTGTGCACCCCCTTGCGTCTTTTCATATCTCCTCTTCATACACACCTCTCTCTCTCTCTCTCTCTCTCTCTCTCTCTCTCTCTCTCTCTCTCTCTGAAGTAGGTCAATGTGAACAACATACAAGTACTTGTCCTTTCAAATTGGTTACATTAACACACATAAGAACATTTTTGTGGTTAATGTGTACCAAGGGTCTCTTGAGCCCCAAATAATCAAGCCCATGCCTTGTCCTTGGCCTGGTCTCATAACAGCTTACACGTTAAGACCAAAAGTTTACCAAAACTTTAACACCAAATTATTATTTCATTGTTATTCCAGTCTTGCCCATAATAAAACAGTATTAGTCCACTTCTATAAAAAAAAAATCCTATCTGTTTCATAAACAGAAAAATATTACTTAATATGTTTTAGATACCACAAATTTATCCCAAATTCAACTACACCATAATTTTCAAACAAATTATATAATACAGCTCTGATGCAGAATTCCAAAAGAGCAAGAGAACCAGAACGCACAACCACACCAGCACCAGCAAGCCCATCATGCCAGCAAATATACAGCTGGAGGTGACAATATCATCGTCACTATCAGTGCCATGACGTCAACTGCTAGGTGTGACAAACTTGGCAACAACTCTGGCATCAATCACACAGCATTGCCTATTTTGGGCACAGTGTTTCTGGTGGGACTGCCTGTTTCCAATATTGTGATATTGTGGTTTGAGTTTATCTTTAACTGATAAATTTAAAATATTTTTCAAATTGGTTTACTTCCAAATTAATATCTGTATTTAGGTTCATTTGTATCAAAAACTAAACTGATGGCATCTGACAAATTGCTACAACTTTTTTTGCAGAATTTTTTAAACCCACTAGTTATTTGCGGTCCATCTGAATTAAATACCACACCTATTTCATTAGAAGAAAAAAAACTACATTTTAGAGAAAAAGTAACTTTACTTTAGTGGACCATTATGCAACTGAAGTAGACTAACATTTCCGGTCTAAAAATGAAAACTAAATTTAGTTTTTAATTCTGCCCCACTTGTATAGTAGGTATTCCATTTCTAAACAAAAGGCAATCTTATCGTACACAGCCTTTCTCTATAACAGTGGATGTGAGCGGACAAAACAGGGATTAGATTGGCTTCTTATAGTTAGCTATTGGCTTCTTATGTTTAGATATTGGTATCACACCATTCCCTGGGGCAAACATACAAAGTTGAATCATTATAAATTAATATGTATCATATTGTTAAGAAATGATCACAAACAAGAGAATCTCGTCACACGTAAACTATGTAGAGGTGCAGTGATGGATATTTAATACAGCAGCCTAGAGACACTACAACCAAATATAGTGACAGGGACAACTGCCAGCGACACTAACAACATTCCTGTTTGTCTGAGTGCCCACGTTATCCATTATTTCCCATTATTTTTTCCTATGCCAAGGAGGACAAGTTTTTGCCTTCGTTGGTTTGTTATAATTACTTTACAGCTGAAACTAAAAAGTTATGGATGGATTTTGATCAAATTTTCAGGCTGGCTCAGAAATGGGCTTATTTAGGAAAGATTAGATTTTGTCAATCCATTTATTGATGTATCAATTAATGACTTTGGCCCCATTCAGAATAGGGGAGTAACTAGTCTGAGGGTCAAATATGGCAACCCACTACAAAGCTTGCCATCTAATCCAAAAACAGACACTGAATAGATATCCCGTGGGGAAGTATTCAAGTAGGTCGGCCATATTTGACCCTTGGACTAGTTAGTCCCCTATTCTAAATGAGGCCTTGGAGAAGTTCTGTCATCTCCGAGTGCTCTTCTAGTTTCCTTTTTTTCCTAACAAACAATATAGGGGATAGTTGCACCATTTGGAAGCAAACAAAACTCTTTATAAAGCTGATAAACCTAGAAGTGATATATCCTCAGGCAAATTTGATAAATTTCTTAATGACTCAGAAAAGATGTCATCTTACAAAATTGTATAACAGATGCATACCCGAAATTTATAAATGATAGTCCATTTTGGAATGAGGTATTCTGAGATAATTGTTTGTAAAGACAGACTATATTTCATAAGGTAAATAGTTTGCTGTTTAGATATTCAACTGACCTGCATTCAGCATAATTAACATATTACGTAAAGCAATAAAAATGTATGTGTCTGCCAACCTATGCGTCTGTGTCTAAAGTCTACTGCAAAAAAAGTATAAGGATGCTTCCCTGAAAGATCTCTTTTTAAGTTCTACATTTTAAAGACTTTTTTTAACTGCATCAGTATAACCTGACAGCTAATGACCTTAATATATCAAAGAGTAATAAACCCCAAATAATTGTTCTGAACAAAAGATCACCTTGGCTGACCACAGTAAGTGTCCTCAGAGAGGAATACTGAATGGAGAATGATTAAACAGATACATGATTGAGAGAGAGAGAGAGAGATATACCAAACAGCACCAAGGGAATAAAAAGACTTTATAAAGCCACAATGCCTTATAAAAAATATTGTCGACAGTATCAACGATGTGAGGAAAGATTCTTCAACAGCTATGTTACTGTAAGTTGGACAAGGTACAAAACCCAAAGTACACAACAATCT